CGAGAACAGACTTTTAAGAGGCTCGTGTGATACGTATTATAAAATCTCTTTCATTTGTGTTGACTTGATGTCTGCAAAATGACTTTCTGCTTAAATGATAAACCTATCACCAGCCTGAGATCACTTGAAAATGCTAAGCAACAGAAGGAATAATTGCATTCTGCAAGTATGTGTTTAAATGGTCAGAAATGCAAAATTAATAGTCAGGACTCTGGAGTCCCATGTGAGGCTTTCCTGGCCAAGTGTATCTAAACTGAACCATGTTTCCAGTAGAATGATACAACAGTAGAACCATAACACAACATTGTTTCTTGATCGTGTTTCCGTGTCTGTGTTACTGTTGCATTTTCATTTATCCCCTGAAGTCTGTTTACCCAGGCTTCCTGTTATTAATTATGGGAAGCAGGTTTTTTTTTTTTGAAATATACGAGAGACTCTTTTAACTCTTGTCCAGACACTTCCAGGCAAGATACTGACGATTCCTTTAATGTCTGACTGTGCCGGAAACGCTGCACTAACTCCAGGTCTTCTCTCTCACGGGAAAAAAGAGAAAGGAAAAACAGAAATACTAACAGAACAACCAGGAGCCGCTTCTTGTCCAGTGACTACACACTGAGGTACAAAGTTGGGGACTTTCCTCATCAGAAAGAACAATTGCAGGAACCGGGTGACTTTGAACCCTAATGAGTCCACAAAAATAAGTTGCAAACATTGACTCAAATTACACAGAGCCAAGACAGCAAGATGTATTCTAATGTGGATATATGCAAAAGAAGACAAATTCCTGCCCTGATTATTGGCATAGCAGAAAGCTTTTTATATAGAAATATCTGGTTAATGCCTCTGCATTTCTCTCTCCTCTCTCTCTCTCTCTCTCTCTCTCTCTCTCTCTCGCTGACAGTGTCTTTGAAATGGGGGCAAATATACTTGCATGCATTAAAATGAGAACGAAGCCAAAACATCTGGAAGTTTTAGAAGAAAAGCAACACAGTTGTGAGGAAGGGGGTGTCCAGATTAAATAATGCAGATGTTTAATTGGGCTGTCAGTTTTGTTACAAGGAAATAAGAGCAGAAATAAACAGGAGCCACCGGTGGAAAATTAAAATAGTTTCATGAGCCCTTGCCAAGCTAAAAGCAATGAAATCGGTAACACAATATGGACAGGGGCTTTCTAAGCTGAGATCTGAAAATGTTACCATGTGCAATTTTGTAAATTAGCCATTTCCAAAAACATTTTTTCATTACAGCACAATAAAAGTTTCTCAGACTCCCCTCTCTTTGGTCATTAGCATCCGGCGGTTTTTCGGGGTTTGGCTTTCATCAATGACAAGCTCATTCCCCCACTCTGCTCACCCCCTTTCTAAGACCCTCTAATACTGCTGAGTGGCCAGAAATTACAGATGCAAGCAAAGCTGACAAATGACTGCCAGGCCCCTCCCCCAGTGCCTCGACAGGCAAAGGCCCTGCCAGAACATGCTTGAAAGGAGCGCGCCACGAGACAAAAGACACAAAGATCCCATTTTCTCAGGGAAAATAGATTTCATGTGTAAAACACTAGTGAGAAAAATTGAAAGCTGACACATATGTGCAATTTCAGGGAGGCAGGGCTGAATATTTCAAGAAGATTGAAATTACATTTGATTGCACCAAAGCCTAACAAATGTTGTTGAACCTAAACGTCTTTTCAGTCTGTAAAAGGAAAAGACATTCAGTGGCAAGATACTTTATTTTCTTAAGCACATGGTTAGAGAGGAAAAGGAATCTTGGGCTCGGTGGAGAGATGTTGATTCCGTACTACCACTGCATTAAGAATTAACACTTCTGGCTCCCATCACGGGCTCTACAAAATTAGTGGCGGAGGGGGAGTGTGTGTGTTTTTAATCTCTATTAAATCAAAGGGTTTGGTAAGATAATATTAAATCCTTATGAGTGTGTCTCATATAAAAAGAACCCCCCACCCCCAGGAGCCCCAGGGTATCATTACTGGAGAGACAAGGAGAGGTTTATTAGCAATTCAGACCCCGCTTCGTCATCTGGGCTTTGCCAAGCATGCAAGTTTTAGCTTGTGTGCCCAGGGCCTTGGCCTCTTGGTCCCTCTGGCATCTAACAGTGAGGGCTGTCCGTTCGATCTCCGCACTGCGTCGGCAGTGTGTCGGGGCAAAGGCTAGGGCTGGGAGACAAAAGATTATCACTTATTAAGCAAGATGATGCTTTTCTTCTTGCCTAACATATCCACTCAGCGCATTCAATAGCATTGTGTTCCTAATAGATGGACTCAATACTTGCAAAGAAAAAAAAAAAAACCCTTGGCTTAATACGTTTTATAAAGTGTTAGATCATTATGAGGTTAAAATATAATTAATAGTAGCTGTCAGAGGTAATAGACCAAGAAATTGCACTGCGGATATTTTAATTTTAAAAAGTCTTACAACAAATTTTTTAAAACTTGAGAGCACATTTTCTACTCTCGCCCCTTCTTGTAAGCTTCCGCAATTCTTAATATTTTTTGGTCAGAACATGAGAGAGAGAGAGAGAAAGAAATAAACTTTAGGAGATGACTGAGAGGGAAATGCAAATAGGAAATAAACCTTATGTCCATTAAAATGTTCATAAACTCTTTGTTCCTACAAGAGTGTCCATGTCGAAAGGCTCAGGGGGGTGCAATACAGCACTTGAACAAGATATTTGCAATTATAATGTAAGAAGCCGCTGTCTTATTTGAGGTATTCAGAATCCTCAGTCTAAGTGCTTGAAGGTCTCATCTATTTGCTTGTTAAAAGAAGGAACTGGTTTGTGAGTTTGTTTTAACTTGAGTCACTTGGTCATCACCATGCGTCCCTGATCTTCCCAGTTGCTATTTGTAAGGTGAACATTTTTGCAAACCATACATCAGCCTGCAGAGGGAATGCTTGATTCAAAATGCTATCGTGTGGGGTGAGGGAATTAGAGAGAAAGCTTCTGTTACGTTTCCCAACTTGAAAGTTGAAAGTACACAGTGGGTCAGTATGGTCAACAGAGATAACAGTTTTTGAAGAATTCACAAGTCTATGAGCCCAGAGCCACCCATACGGTCAGGAACTCAACATACTCGTCGATTCGTGTTTTCGTTCGGTTATCAGAAGGTCCTAGCATCGTGTGACACTAAATCCAATGCTCAGTGATTTAAAATAGAAGAAACATCTGTAACTACAGTAACACTCCCTGCTCTTGTTAGTCAACTGACTGCAAAGTGGATACACGGAGTAGGCCGAGGCAAATAAGCACTAACTCTAGCTGGAAAATACAGTACAACCAGCACCCAGGCACTTGCGGACTGCCACACCTGCACCACCACCTCGGAAGACAGGATACAGAGCCGTGTGCATATGAAGATCCACATGCTTATACCAGTTTCAACTGACTGGGTCACGGGGCCTCCTGACTCCTGGTTCCTAATCAGCCCTGGAGTTTCACCTCAGATTCCAATGAACGCACAGTATCATGGGAAAAAAATATATAGAAGGCAGTCAAGAAAAACACTTCTGAAATGAGAAAATTATACAAATATAGTCCTGGAGGGAGAATATATAACAACTTAGCTAAGTTCAGTAATGTATAAATTTATACTATAATATATATAGTCCTATATAAATTTGTATCACATTAATGTAACATTATGCATGAGTCTATAAGACATTGTATTTTCATATAAAATATGCACATATTTTATACAAAAAATACAATAAGAGATTGTATTTTTATACAAAACATCAGAACTTTCTAACCCAATGTAAAAAAAATAGATTGTCTTCCTTCAGCCTAATTCAAAGGGAAACACTCACTTTGAATTTTATTTGAAAATTCAACAGTTTTTAAGAATTCTTTTAATAATTTAACTTTAATAATTGAAAAAGTTGAGAGAATCTTCAACTTTTTAAAAAGATTTATTTATTTTTATTGAAAGGCATATATACAGAGAGGAGGGGAGACAGAGAGGGAGATCTTCCATCCGATGGTTCACTCCCCAAGTGAGCGCAATGACTGGAGCTGAGCCAATCCAAAACCAGGAGCCAGGAGCTCTTCCTGGTCTCCCACACGGGTGCAGGGTCCCAAGGCTTTGGGCCATCCTCGACTGCTTTCCCAGGCCACAAGCAGGGAGCAGGGCTACTAGGATTAGAACCAGCCACCATATGGGATCCTGGTGCGTGCAAGGCGAGGACTTTAACCACTACTCTATTGCACTGGGCCTGAATCTTCAATTCTTGATTCACTCTCTAAATGGTCACAAGAGTGGGACTGCGCTAGGCCAAAGCCAGAAGCCACGAGCTTCTTCTAGGTCTCCTAATTGGACAGGACTCAAATACTGTGGCCATCCTCAGCTGCATTCAAGGGCACATCAGCAGAGAGGTGGATCAGAAGTAGAGCAGCAAGATTCAAACCTTTGCCAATATGAAATGCTAGCAGTGCAGGCAGCGGCTTAACCTGCCTATTGCCCATCCCTGAAAATTAAACTATTATACTAAGATGAGATAGAGGTATCATAATATTATTGGATACATTAGTCTGCTTAAATAAATTATTAGATAGTTAAAAACAAAGCAAATGTGTTTAAGGCGCTTGAGAATAAAATTAAATTTTGTTCATACTGCAGCATCATTATTTGATTCATGTAAAGGTTTTTATACTGGGAACATGCATTCAAGGAAAGCAATACTTGCCATTAATTTCCATACAGAATGAAGCCAAACCTAATTTCTTTTTACGGAGGTAGTTAGTTGTTACTTTACCAAGTTGATTTATGGAGGCTTTAAAAAAAACCCAAAAAACCAAAAACAGAAAAAAACCTCAAGAAATGTTTTCTGAGGCCAAATTAGTATATAAAAAGTTAGAATATGAAACTTAGCAAATCCCTACAGATCGTTGGTCAGGAAATGATCCCCATAAAAAGATTAAAAAATCCATTTTAGTTAAGTTGCTTAGCGCAGACTGCATTTTCATATATCTGTCTTTATTTTTTACAGAGTTCTTGGTAAAATGGCCAACAGATCCGTTACAGAAGCTGCAAGTAGTTTGAACTTCATCTTCGATGGCAAGTCTGACCCTGAAGAAACAGGCCATATGTCCAAGGAAGAGGGCAGCCTCGCTGGTTATGCCCGAAATTAGGACATGATGGAGGTACGTCGCTCTGTCAGTTCCATCAAAATGCTTTGTTTGCTGCTTTCATCACAGATAACTTCTTCTCGTTTTCCAATCTCTTTTTTCTTCCTCTCGTTAGCAGATGTCTTTTATAATTGATGCTGTTCATGGTCCTTTTCATCAAATGCATGCCACATCACTTGGGCAAAGTAGCAGACAGGGTACCTAGATACGCACTAGAGGGCAACCAGCATCCAGGAGACGCTTGGGCTGTCTCGTCAGGCAGTTAGAATAAGCATGTTGGTGCCACTGAATGCAGTGTTGTATCCAAATAATAGCTTTCATCTTCACTCTTCCAAAAATAAAAATACGCCCTTAACCCCTTGGAAAGAACAGTCCAAACAGCACGTAGACAACAGACCATGTTACGTTTGTAAAGTATCTGAAATTTTGTTGTTGTTCCTTTTAAGAAAGACCTTGAAGTAAATGATGGTTTTCATAAGACACATGACAATGTCAGTTAGGAGGATCATGATTTGCTGTGCTGGGTGCTATCTTCTGTTCTTAGCAGGATATACACACACATATATGCTCACCCATCAAGAGTTTCCAAAGATACCTGCTTTCTCATTTCACATTTTACGTGTTCCTCCAAAGCTGCACTAATTTAGGGGGATGAAAGAAGAAATAGAAAGCAAAACAGAAAATAAGAACAACAACAACAAAAAAAAACCTTTGTCAAGTGGTCAGACAGACTGGAACTAGACGATTATAGGTAAGAGGGACAAAGTGCAGGGTTGAGAGCTCTAATTTCTGTTTCTGTGGTGGCAACTGAAACAGCTGCTGGGTCAGGCCCTTTAGAGCTCCAGCTCCTGGAGGCCGGCGTCTGCGGGGAGGACACTTGTCCAGTCTGCTGTCGAGCTCCGGCATGCCAGGTGTGCCAGGCAATGGTGATTTCCGGTCAGATTCAAGTCCACTTGTTCTTGCCCTGCCTGCCATGCCTGTGTCCCTGAATTTCCATTTGAACTTAATTTTCTTCTATTTCTCTTCTCCTTCTTCTGTCCTCCTTCCCTTCTTCCTTCTAACTCTCCTTTTTTCCTTTCTTTTTCCTTCTTCCTCCCCGCCCCCGTTTTCTCTTTTCTTTTTGAAATATTAGTTATTCTTTTCTGACCACTGTTGTAATTTGGGCAACCCTAGAAAACAGAAAGTGTATTTTGAAAACAGATGTTACATTTGGAGTTTCTCTAGGGACAAACCCGTGTTTGAACCCACTGCGATTGTAGCTCTCCCTTGGAATCCTACTAAAGACCAAGTTAGTGTGCATATATGGGTGTCAGGTAACCGCGTTTGTTGATTGAGTCATTTGAAGCATGCGTTTTAGTAGTAACAGACTCACTATAGGTATCTTACAATATCTGTTATGATCTTGGAGTTTTTATGACATAATGTGTGTTTTTCTTTATGATTTCATTGGAATTAACTAAATCATGGAGCTAGTAGAAAACATGGAAACTGTAAGGGAACTATCATGCTCAGATGGAAAGTCAGAAAATACTCTGTACTCAATTATTCAGGTTGTTTATCCATGCAATTTGCTTAATTATAGTTTCTCATATAATTAGACAAAGAAAATATCTAAAAGTATTTCTGGGAAACGTTTGAGGAAAAAATGAATCATCAAAATATGTGCACAGTTAAATGTTAAACATCATTGAACATTGGGAAGAACATATATGCAAATTCTTTCAAGATGCTATGCATAGAAAAAAAAAACTTATTTTTAATTGCTAATAAATCCGCTAGCTTCTGTGTATGTCTAAGGTAGGGAAACAAATACAAACACTATGCAAAACTAAGTGCTATTTTAGAATTTCCATTTGACATCGTTATAGTATTTATTACTAACAGTCTTGTAGTTTTAACCAGCTCAAAGCGGTTGCCCTGAAGTCAAAGGTAAGGTATTTGATTGATTGTGTTGGGAGTTTAAAAGATTTTTTTTTCTGCAACTAGTGTCGTATATTTTAAAAATTGAAGAGAAAGTTGTGTTTTGTTTGATGAGTGTGTCTTTAAGAAGTGGAAGTAGGGGTGGGAGGGAGATGCAGATGAAGTGTTAGGGCTTGTTGCTGGAGAGAACTGAAGACATTCTATAGGAAAAATAGCTTGTGTTTGAATAGATAAACTTCATGCTTCTGCTAAACAAAGCTTTGAGAGCTTTAATCAAATCTTTAATCTTGTTTTCTAGTTTTTCAAGGAAAAGAAAACAATTAAAGAAAAAAAACACTCTTTTATGCAAATATTTGAACTGTCTTTCAGAGAATTTTGTGGTGATTTTACTGGAATGAGTATTTTTGTAACTTAAACAAGTAGAATGCCTTCCCGCCATGGAACTTGCCACACTGCCTTCAGGATAGCAATGAAAGTTTTACTGTATTTAAGAAATCATAATTTGGTCAAGATTTTAGTTTGGAGCTAAATTTTTTCACTCAAGTGTTTAAAAGATGAACATTTTCACGAAGTGGGTTCAGCATCCACAGCCAACACTGCCTACCACTTACTTACACCCTATGTTTCATTACCAAACCACCGAGGTCACATCTGCATGCAACACAAATGATTCTGTTAAAAACAGAATTGAATGAGAATTTCATCAGAGTCTTCAAATTTAATTCATGTTTCATGTTCCCCAAGTTCAGCTGAATGTCAGATTTGAATTGTCTCCACCACTTTTGCAATTCATGTCACACCAAGTAAAAATGCAGAGTACTTGCACGACACTATCGTGAATTCAGACATGTGGGCAATTGCATCCCGTGAATTGATAGCCAGCACAGTGGTCAGCACGGATGAGGGTGAACAACTCTGCTGCTTCCTGAAAGGCCAGGCTGCAGCAACGGGGTTTGTGGAATTGCGTGTCTTCTGCTGTGTAGGGAGATCCATGACTGAGGACAGAGTCTGTAGGAGGGTGGGCTTTGTCGATGCCCCTCCTCTACAGAGACAATCAGGCTTCCTGACAAATCGTGTGTTCTGGAATCTTCTGATTCCAGAAAGTGCAGCAGTGTCACTTGCTAATACAAATAATACTGTGAGACGGAACCTGGTGAAACTCAAACCAGATTGGACAAAAATGTGTCTGCTCTCTTATATTCCCAGATGAACTCAAAATATACAGTCACCTTAGTCCATTGTTAAATTTAGGTTGCAAACTTAAACAAAATTTCAAATTAACAGCCTCAGCCAGGGAGGCCTCCAAATATCTTTTGGCTAATAAAGAAAAAATCATAGAAAGTACTTTAGGAGTTTGTGGAAGGCAAATTGAAAGACATTTATGGATCAAACATACAGTGTTATTGATAAGGCATGTTGCACTTTTGTAGTCTGTCAGCTGTTATTTCTTAAGGATGATTTAGAAGAAAATGAAATAAACTGATTTTCTGCCCATAGGTCACAAGCAATACATTTATGTGTGAGGTACAGATAGCTGTACTCATTGTGGGGGTGGGGGAAAGGGAGCTCAAAAATTTTATGGAAATTGCACATTGTGGAAATGCTGCACGAGAATTTTAAATTTTTTGCACTAAGACAAATTTAAATTTCATTTTCTCCTGAGCTATTTTTGGACTACATTCATATGGATAGTGAGGTATATAATTTCTTTGCTAACACACAATGTTTTTTCAAGTAAACAATGCAATAAATTGCTTTATAGAAGAAACCAATTAATTAATTAAGCTGAATAGTCACAGAATGATTCTGTGTGCAGAATCATTTGCTCATCAGTGGGGATTGAACGTGGGTCTGTAACATGGAGTCATCATTTTAATCTAGAGAAGAAAAATCTCCACAGAGCTTTGTGGGTCAGAGTAAAAACAGATTTAGAGAATCTGAGAAGGGAATTCATTTATGTCACATGGGAAGCCAATGCAGCTAGAATGGAAAGCTTTCATTCCCCAAACGGTAACATGGAAATCTAGTGTGATAGATGTATACTGATGAGAGGGCATTTATTAGGATTTTGCCCCTCTGGACCATGACTCCTCAGCAGTGGCAGTGTTGACACTTTAAACCAGATAACCCTCACTTTCTGAGCACCAGAAGGTTATCAGTGTCTGTGACCCCTTCATGTCAGGTGCCAGCAACATCCTTCCGCCCACATGTTGATCCAGACATTGCCAACCTATCATTGAGGCAACAAACTGCCCTTGGGTGGAGAGCCACTTATTTAGACAGCTTGGGTTGCTTCTTTGAATTATAGGCACAATCATGACATTGATTACTGCAATTATGTTGATAGAAATGCTACATTCAGAACTGTTACACCCTGGATAAAGAATACCTTTTTAACTCCCTCCTTTCTGCAAAAACAGAAAGTGTCATTGATTTGTCCTTCATTCATGTTCCCAAAGCTTCTGAAGATCTTTTTGAAGACTCAGAGCTGGTTTTTTAGGGGAGCCACTAGAATTTAAACATAGCAGTGGTTATTTTTAATTTTAGTCTTAGTACTTGAGATCTTAGTGAGTTCTCTGGGTCCTGGAAAGGTGAAATGACAGATTTGCCTTTTGTAGACTCTGAGTTGGACAATAAGAGCTCCATTTCTCTAGGGATTAATTGTAACACCACTGAACAAATTGGCTTGAGCTGAAAGGTTAATTTTTTTTAAAGATTTATTTTTATTATTTTTTCATTGGAAAGGCAGATATACAGAGAGGAGAGACAGAGAGGAAGATCTTCCGTCCGATGCTTCACTCCCTAAGTGAGCGCAACGGGCCGATGCTATGCCATCCTAAACCAGGAGCCTCTTCCGGGTCTCCCACGCAGGTGCAGGGTCCCAAAGCTTTGGGCCGTCCTCGACTGCTTTCCCAGGCCACAGGCAGGGAGCTGGAAGGGAAGCGGGGCTGCTGGGATTAGAACCGGCACCCATATGGGATCCCAGGCGTGCAAGGGGAGGACCTTTAACCACTTGCGCCACCGCGCTGGGCCCGAAAGGTTAATTTTAGACCAGGAAGGTTTCAAAGCTCCAGCTTGTGGTAACTACATAAGTA